ATTAAATTGTTCTCATCTCAACCCATGAGCCTTTTTTTCCTTCACCCCTTTAATTCTTTCTCCCATCCCTGGGAGGCGGGAGGGTGAGCGAGCGGTTGTTGTGGTGTTTGGCTGCCAGCCAGGGTCAAAACTGCAACAAGGCAATAAGCATCTTCTGCCTAACTCAAGTTCAGAGCCTTGTTTACTCATATCAGAAATATGTGTCTCTTCTAGCAGTCGCTGTCTTTTTTGTTTGTCACTACATAGAGTATGATCAGTTTATAGTAAATATGAACGTTATTGGTAACCGAGCAGAAATCTTAGCGCATATTAAAAAGCACAATTACATGGAAAATCCTATCTTGAGTGTTCTATGAAGTGTGAAGCTGCTGGCAGTGTGAGGAGCAGTCAGTCTTTATTGCTCTACTTCCAAATGATGCCATTTATTTTTTATAATGTTGTAAAGACATTTTTCTCTACAAAATAGTGTTTCTTTGAAAACAATTTAAAATAACTTTTCTAAGTGTTTTAACTTTCATATTTTAGAAGATTTCAGTACTACTATTTTTCAGTTCTCAGTTGCCAGATTGTACTGGAAAGTTAATGTGTGAGTTCTCACGTTCAGTTGTTGGCTGCAGGCTACTTTCAGCTCCTAGTTCTGGGGAGAATGAAATTTGCCTGGAGAAAATGAGGACAGAGAAGCTGAAGAATAAGATATTTTAGAAGACTTTTAATTCTATACTTTATCTGATGATAAATAGAAGCAAAAATGGAGCCCAGAAACTGGATAGCTAATGATATGAAGCTATTTTTCATGCTGCTGTCTTGCTGGCCACCTGCTAGCTTTACTAGAGTGATCTACATATACATCTTCCATGGCTAATAATTGTAGGTGAACAGGCGGTCTGAAAGCCAGTTGCTAATGGATATATGTCATGATCTCTCACTACAATCTAGCTGGTATTAACTGACATTTTCAGTGGCAGCTTTTAGCAGAAGGATTGAATGGATACAGAAATGAACTACTGTGTTACTCTCTAGAGAGATGGAATTACATAGGCATAAATGAGGCACCCTGATGTGGAGTACTCCTGTTGAGGAAGCTTGAAATGTGGTGAACTGTATTTTACTTGTTATCTGGCTAAATGGATCAGTGTACATCAAGGCTGTAAATCAAGAACTTTTATCTATAAAAATTTGGACTGGGTTTTTGTATAAAAAGCAAGAGAATGAAGAAAAAAGTGCTGAATTTCTAATTTTAGAAAATTATTTCATAAATGGCATTGAGGGATCTGTGTTTCTGTCTTTTACTGAATAAATATTCTTAACTTATAAGTGAGTTTCTCCTAACTAGCATCAGAAAGTTAAGTGGAGGTATTTCTATCTTGTGCAATTCCAAAAATACAGAATCCAGATGAGAATTTAACAGTTCAGGCAATGATGCACAAATCAGAATAGAACGTGGCTCCCTCCTCTGGATTTTTTTTTTATTCTACAATGTTAACCACAGTTAAAAATCAATAAAATCTGAATTTGGAAAATAAAGTACTCAAATATCAGGCTGGAATATATATGGAAATGTCTGTGGAATTAAAGTCTGTTAGTCTCAGGTTTCAAAGTAAAATTGTTCCTGAAGTTAAAGGAATTGCCAAAGACCATGTCTGATTTGAGTATCAGTACCAGCAGCTTCAAAGTTGGATACTTATTTGTTGGTATGTAATCATACTGTCAGGCATACTACAGGTGCCTCTAAAACAACACAACATAAAAACATGGTATTCCCAAATTGTCATGGAAGTGTAGACAAATGGGGGACAAGGGGTTGAAAGACTGGCTTCCCAAGTAGTAGGTTTCCAAAATGTTAATTAAAGTAGGTCCAGAGCATAGTGAAATTGATTTGCTTTCAGTAGCTCTGAAGAGACTATCTTGAGTTTTAAAATAATGACTTCTTTGTGATAGATTTGGCTTTTTCTAGTGATATATGACTCTGTCAGTTGTTAAATGTGGACAGGAAAAATACCAAAACAGCACTTACCTGAAAACATCATCATGTGCTGAAAGTTCCTGGGAATCTTTTTTTTTCGACCCAAATTCAAAAGGAAAGAAAATGGATATATGTTGCAAGCTCTTGCTACAAAAACTGCCACCTAAAATGTAAGATGTTGAGGAAAATGGCGGAAGAACTACCGAAAAAACCAGAGTTAACTTAAATCCAATATTTCTCCAAAGTTATTTTAAAAGTGTAATTAAATGAATATGAGATTATCTTCCCTCATATTTTACATATCAGATTCTTCGGGTTCTAATTTCATCATTAAACTCTGCAGTGGCAGAGATTGTCTTCCCCAGACAGCCTGGTTTTATGTTCATCATTATCCCACTTCAATCACTCTACTTTTACTCATCACATTTGTATCACATATGACTTCATCTTCAGTCCTTCAGTAAAATGCCCATCATCAACTGCAGAGATGGCATTATCTCCTTGAGCAGCAATTTGCAAAGAATAAATGTGCTTTTGGACATGTCTACTTTCTCATTTCCTGACAATTCACATTGTCTACATCCAGCATTCTTTGCTTTTTTTTTTTTCCACTTTTTCTATGGAGATTTTTCAAAAGGGGTTCCTTATTACTCCTCTGTGGAATGATCACAAAAGTTGCCTTAATTAGAAACAGGAGGATATTTCAGATGAAAAAAAAGACAATCAGAGCTCCTTCTACATGCTTTTAGCAGGTTCCATCCTCCCCTTGTGACTCTTAGGGCTCAATTACGACACTCAGTCTGAGACGCTGTGGACTGTAGAACAAGTGAAGTACGGGAGTGGTGATGTCTGGATGTATCGTATCTGCTGGGCCATGAGCTGCTTAAAGCTCCATGAAGGTGAGAGGACACGTGTTAGCAGTGTCCAGGACACAGGCTCACCTGCCCTGTGCTCAGCCAGCCAGTGCAACCCTGTTGCAGTCTGTGAGCTCGTGGTGAGAGGAAACGATACAGCTGGGTCCCTGCAGCGCCCTGCAACGGAGTCCCCATCTGGGGTGCTGCATGCTGCTCCCACGGCCAGCTGTCTTCCCAGGCTAGGGGTGCAGGACACGGGATTGCACTTGCCCTGTTGTGGTGGTGGGGTGTCACAGGCTCTTGGGGTCCTCTCTGCCATCGAACCCAACCTATAGCCAAGGGAGCTGTGATGTAGTTCTTATTATTCATTTGGAAATGACATACAAAAATTGCTGCAAGTAAATGGTATGATCCCCAACTTTCAAAGCTATTACAGTTCATAAAAAAATGATAAGCAAAGGGCTGCTGCTCTGAGCCAAAAAAATCATTGTGTGAATTGCCAGTGCAAAAAGAATCAATACCGCTGTAGGAGTAAGCAACAGATTTGTTGAGAAACCATGGCAGAATTAAAGACACAGGCTCTTTTTCTCTACCAGTCTCTTAGGCACATGATGATGTAAATAATTCCAGGTACACTAGAGATATCAAATACAAAGAAGGAAAGATTTGAGCAATGCAGAGCTGTTTACTTTTTAAGGACTTAATATCATTCAAGTAGCTTTGGGGAAGTTCTGCTTATGGTGCACATCTGTCCTGGAGGCAGCTCCACAGTTTGTGGATCTGCACTGGCTCTGGACAAGCAAAAAGATGTTGTGTGCCTGCACCTGTCCCCGCAGATGTGTCCCAATACACACCCCAACTTCCCACCCCACTCGTAAACCAGTGGAAAAAGTTCCCCAGATGGTTTAAAGCCATTTGCCTTGTAGCAGATCTACAAAAGAGCAACAGTGAAAGGACCATGTGCTTACGTGCACTGGGCCAGTTATTGAGATATATGTAATAAGGATGATTGCCTTTGGACTCGACAAGAAATCGATTTTTAGCATTTAAGGAATTGATTGGTTTGCTTGTTGATTTTTTTTTTTCCCCACATGGAGCACACATTCTTTATATATATATATACACGTACATAGACAAACAATTATTTAAAGCAAAGGATACAAATGCACCAAATATAAAAAGAGGATTGAAGATATGATTTTGAAATGTGAACAGTGCGAGTCCCATGTAACAGAAGATGACATTCTCAGCCAAAAAATTCATGAACTCGAACAACTTAAATGAGAGAGAAAGAACATAATTATGACTCATGCCTGTAGCCAGCTACTGTTTATCACCAGGTTCCCTTGGAATACAGAACTGTTTTGATGAAAGGAACAGAAATTGCACCTATTTCAAGGGTGGATTTTAAAACCATCTAATTTGCTATACAGTGTATGTAGTGTCTTTTACCTTTAAAAATTGTAGTTGCTTGCATTTTTTTTCTCCAATTTGTGTATGTAAGCTTGATATAGACAACTGATGACATACATAAACAGCAAGTTAATTATACAAGCTTCAATCCAGACTGAAAGGAAGCTGAGGGAACTTAACTTCATTCATGTTTACACAGGTGAACCTGGGAAATGGCTCAGATCCTGGTTACACAAGTGGGTATGCACAGTACAGTACTGAGTATGGGTACCCTAATGCTAAGAGAGGGAAAAAAAAACCCTCCTAAATGGACTTCTAAGAACCTGTGCCATTAAAATATAACACAGTCTTTTTTATTACCATGAATATTATCCTGCAGATGAGAACTTTTATTGTACTGTATGGACATCAATATCAATTATTTGTTTGAAACCAAACTACTTAAGATATCATTTAAAAGTATTATAAAGTAAGCCTAAAATACATGATTATGGTAGGATTTCTTCTGTAGAAAAATAAGCAAAGCCAAAATATTCATTTGCCTTGAGGTCATGTTCTTGATTGTATTTGCAGCTGATTATATAAAAACTAATAAAATAAATTTTCATATTTGTCCACATCTGGAAAAAATCAGTCATTGCTGCCAAATAACTACAGAGGACAGACAAAGACATCTTTTCACTTCTGAAGTCACTTTTGTACTCAGGAGCCTATGCTAACAAAGCCTGATGCAGAATTAGGGCCAAAGTTTGTCAGTCTGGCTACAGTCAGTCATACATCACTATCTGGAATGTTACTATGGAGATATTTTATTCATCTTCAACAGGCTTATGTATTTTTTGTAATGTGTTTGTGCTTCTAAAAATAAATATCCAATAACAGTCAATAAGATATAACAAAGAAAAAATGAGAGCTGTCAGAATCATTATTTAAAACAAATTTCAGAGGCAAAATGGAATAAAACCCAGTAGTATATGGGAAGATATTTCGGACCCCATGGCATCACCATCAATTATCCCAAGCACATATTCCATAGCCCCCATTTTGTGCTGCAATGCTGAACAGCATGAAAACAAACCCAACAAATATTTGCGAGTAGAGCTAAATTATTGAAATTGAATTTAAATGAGCAAAGTTAGTTGTCAAAAAATCTCAAAGTACGGGATCTTGCGACCCACAGGAATTATGATGATAGATCTTTGCATTTCCATTTTGGGAGAAAATGTGATCCCACTTGTTTGTGGGAATGTCACCTGACACATTTTTCTAATGCTTTAAACAGTGTATCAGGAGTGTCATGACAGGACTGAGCTGGTTTTTTTTTTTTTTTTTTTTTTTCATCTCTTATCTTTAGTTTCTTAGTATTTTGATCTTCCACTATCAGAGTACTGCCTACTTGCTAGAAGATTAAATCTGGACTCGCTTCCTTCCTTTGTATAGCAAAACTCCAGATGCTATTTCAATATCTAATTTAGAGTAGGGTCCTTTCTATCCCAGGCACAGCCATGATATGGTCTCTAATGAAAGATTCACCTCCCTAGAATGGTAAAATAAGCTCGTTATCTTCAGTCAGAGTCTTCTGTATTCTTCATATAGTTTGCTCTCTCCTTTTAAAAGTATATCACTCATATGACACATTTAGTCATGGAGTGCAGCCTCTTCAAATTTCTCACTCTGAGTAAAAAAAAAATAAATAAAAATCAACTGCTTCAGAACTAGTTATTGTCAAAAAGAAGGGATATCTGAATGCCTCTTCCTGGAACACAGTGCTTGTAGATATAACATAAAATGTATCCACTGTCCTCTAGACTTCTTTTATTTTTGTATTCAGCATGGTGTTTTATTTAGTGTTTCTTCAACTCCTGTGGTTTGTTCAACAGTAATACAGAGCCCATGCAGGTACACCATGAAGTACTTAACTGCCATTGCTGTGCAGCATAAATCCCATCACAACAAAACAATTTATTCTAAAGAGATCTTCTGAAAGCCATGTTAAGAAACAGCTTCTACAGAAGCATTTTCCCAAATTGTGATGCTTTTCACATGGGTGCTTCTGTCGCTATTTTAAAGATGAGATGTCAAGACCTTTCAATGAGAAGCAGAGGAATAGGTTTTCATCTGGAATGTATAATTTCCTGGGACACCCAAGGAGTTCCCAGAAGAGGTGCACCATACACGTGAGCCTCTGGCCATAAGCCAGGTCCATGGACCAGGTTCATGGTCTCCTGAAATGCCACTCAAAAATTTCCCTTATTTTGAACATATGTACTTGCTAGTGGGATTACTTGCATAAAAAAGAAGAAAAAGTTAGGATTAAAATCCTAGATATCAAGTCCTTGGAATCATTTTGTCTGCAACCATAAACTCCCTTCCCTTGTCTCCTGCGCAGACAACTAACCTCTTTCTACTCTAAATGAAACTGGCACTGAAGTGCTCATATGCTGCCATTCCTTTCCCAAAGGCTACCAGAAAATTACACTGGAAACCATTTTAATGTACATATAAAACTAAAAAACCTCACTTGTAATGTGCCATTTCTACCTCTCCTCAAAGCCTATAAGTCTGCTTATAGCTTTAAAGTAAGAGTTGTAATACATTGTGTGTCACCACAAAAACCCCAGTTCAGAACTAACCCTGGCACTTGGTTTAGGTGTTTAGCTCAGTGAGTTATTGAAACTGGTGTTTGCCTGGCTTTGGATATTTTCTCTGTAAAAGTGGATATTACAAAATATTTGTATTGAAAATGTCTATCAAAATTGACATAATATTTATGTATTTAAAAACACATCATTTGCCAAATATGCTTAGGTTTTGTATTACCCTCAGCCATTTTAAATACTAAGAGTGATGTGTAAAAAATCTGTTTTCAGTTGGGACATTCTTCTCAAAAATACTGCTTGCAGCTCAGTTCTCACTGGCAGAGGAAGGAATCAGTCCAGGTTATCTACACCTTAAGCCTGGCTGTAACCACTAAGTTTATCTTATACTGGTTTTATTTTACCTGAAATTAGAAGTTTTATATTATACAAAAACTGTAGTAAAATTATCTTTTGAGTGAGACAAGTGCCTTCTTTTTTCTTCTCCTTCCTTCCCTCCACCCTCATAGTTAAGTACAAGCTAATTAGAGAAACAAGTTATGCAAAAGTGGGTTTTGGAACTTGATCCATTTTATAGAACTACTTAAATTTTCACTGAGTGTTAGAGAGATTATTTAGGTAAAGTAATTAGTGCACCTGGAAGAAGGGACACACTAAATTCCAATCTCAGCTGCAATAAAAACAGAATTCTTTAAAGGAACATCAAAAGTAGAAAATGAACATACTCTATGCCACAGTCCTCCTCTTTTTGGGAAGATGCAAAATGTAACATTTTTCAAAGCCCAATATTTTAAACAGCATTTTTCATCTCAGGGCAATAAAGCTAGCATGAGAGTACTGGGTAAGAGCTAAATAACAAACAGCATCCTTGTATCTCAAGGGAATAATGGCAGTACGAGGGTATTGGATAAAGGCTGAATTACATCCAAAACTTACTTCCAGTAAAATTCAGTGAATTTTACTCACTGAATTATTTCATTTGATTAAGTACCTATGGAAGGAATGCCATCCACCTCTTGCAGGCACCTGCAAGCCTTCTCTGGTTGCATTCATTTTGCCAGCAACATGGAGGAAAGCTACCTGTCTGGGGGTCACATGTTATGTCTTACAGTGATATGTTCTTGCATGACATCAAAATAGGGAGAGTTTCAATAGTCCAACAGCAGCTAGGGAGCTAGGATATAAAATTGATTATACTTTTTAAGAGAGATTTGAAGGTGACAGAGAGCTATTAAATTCCCAAGCAGTCAATGTTAAGTGATGGTTATAAAATTTATTATATTTGAATAATACTATTTAATTAGAATACAGCTATAAAAAAATGTTCCAGGATATTGATAAATCAATAGTTGATGAAAATTGCTTTTCCCTAACTATCTTGAATTAAAATGCAGTGAGAATTCAGGCTACCATAATTTTTCTGAGATTGTAGAAGCCTTTATTATAGTCTAATTGCTTTATTTAATCTTTCTCTTTGATTAGAGGTTTCAAAATCAGAAAAAGAAGGTTTGAATTTGAGCCTCTTGCCTGAAATCCTTTATACAGCCATAATAAATCTTCACAGCGTAGTGATAGAATGCTCATCTCTAGAATAACATGCTTAGATGAAAGAATCAGCAAAAGTAACTCAAATTCATGACAGGATATAAACTTGTTTATGGTGTTACTTTTGATATCCAAGCGTATTTGACTGTAAAATTACACACTAGCAGAGAGAGAGATTCTTACAAGATCTTTTATGTCTGGGGGCAATATTCTGGCCTTTTTTATCAGTGGGCCTTGCTACTGAAGTCAATGAGTTTCACCCCAACAGATTTACGCAACACACACACAATAAACCTACAGAGCTGGGAGGTTTAAAAGATTCGTAAGGCCTGAGGAAGAATTGGGAAAGTAAAAAAGAGAAAGAAATAAAGAGAACAGTAGCACCAAGGGAGAGGGAAGGCCAGCAGTATTTTGCATTTACACAGTATCGATTATTCTTTCTTGCATAATCTACGCACCACCACCACAGTTCAGCTTGGGAGAAGCTGGATAAACTACTGGCACAGAATACACTGCTCACTAGCAACTGGAAAGAAAAAATGTTGGCCTCGGACATCAAGGCAAATCTTTTCTATTATTAAAAATGCCATAGGTCTTGAATGGCTTTGCTGGACAAAAGAAATATAAATCAAAAATATTGAAAAATAGGCAGCTAAATTAGAATATTTTTCTTGTTCTAAACTACTTGGAGCAATGAAAATCAGAGAGAGAATGACTGAA